GTGAGGTTTTGTGTGTTTTTTTTGTGGTTTTTTTTTTTGAGGTTTTGTTTTTAATTGTTAGGGTATTTTTTGTGAGGTTTTATTTGTTAGATTTTTTTTTTAGGTTTTGTGTGTTTTTTTGTGAGGTTTTATTAGTGTTTTTTTTTAGGTTTTGTTGGATTTTTGTTAGTTTTTTTTTAGGTTTTGTTAGTTTTTTGTGAGGTTTTTAGTTTTTGTGAGGTTTGTTAGTTTTTTTGTGAGTTTTTGTTAGGGTTGTTTGTGAGGTTTTGTTAGTTTTTTTTGAGGTTTTGTTAGTTTTTTTGTGAGGAATTCTGTATAATTAGGGGAGGTTTTATATTTTTTGTGAGGTTTTGTTAGTTTTTCTGTGAAGTTTTTTTTTGGTTTTAGTTTTTTTGTGAGGTTTTATTATTTATTGATTTTTTCATTGTTTAGTATTTAAGGTTAGGTTTTTATTTTATTTTGTTTGGTGAGGTTTTGTTATTTGGTATTTTTTCGTGGTTTTAATATATTTTCATGAGGTTTTAGTATTTTTTTGTGAGGTTTCAGTATTTTTTGTGAGGTTCTAATATTTTTTGTGAGGTTTTAGTATATTTTCAGGAGGTTTTAGTTTTTTTTGTGGTTTTAATATATTTTTGTGAGGTTTTAGTATATTATTAGGAGGTTTTAGTTTTTTTGTGGTTTTAATATGTTTTTGTGAGGTTTTAGTATTTTCTTGTGAGGATTTAGCATTTTTTTGTAAGGTTTTAGTAATATTTCAGGAGATTTTAGTATTTTTTCATGAGGTTTTAGTAATTTTTTCGTGAGGTTTTAGTATTTCTCATGAAACGCTTTCTTTATGAGGTGCCATGTTTTCTCTTATGAGGTTATGAGGGAAAACTAGTTCGGATTGTGAGTTGTGAGGTGCGTCTATGAGGTTTTTTTGACGAGGTTGTTTCTTTTGTGAGGTTTTTTGATATTTTGTTTTATTTAATCTGTTTTATGGATATTTTTTAATTAATGATTTTAATGATTTTTTAAAATTTTCATTGTAGGTTTTGATGTAGATTAGATTGAGATTAAAAAATGTTATTATTAAGTTTGTGTTAATATATTATTATAATATTATTATTATTATTATTAAGTCAATTGTTATTGTCCATTAATGTTTTGTCCTTATTCTTAAGATTGTTGCCTTTTTCTTGTTTTTTTTCGTCTTTTATTGTTTTTGTTTTTCCTGTCCTCTCCCTTCCCCCTTCCATCCTCTCTTCTTCATTCTCCGCTTCCCCCTCCTCCTGTCGCTTCCTCCTCCTCTCTTCTCCTTTTTTTCCTCTGCCTTCCTCTTTTCTCGCCTCCTTCCTCCTCCTCCTCCTCTACCTTCCTTTCCCTCCCCCTCTTCTTCTCCTTTTTTTTCCTCATCCTCCACTCTCTCCTTTCTTCCTTCCACACCTGGCTTTCTCTCCTCTTCGTCCTTTCCCCTCTCCATCCTCTATTCCTCCTTCCTTCTTTCCTCCTCCCTCCTCCTCATTTCTCATCCTCCTCCTCCATCTCCTCTCTCTCACCTTCCGTCCTCCTCACTATCTCTCCTCCTTCCTCCTCCTCTTCTTCTACCTCCTCCTCCTTCTCTTCCTCCTCCTTCTTCCTTCCACCCCTTTTACTCTTCTCCTCCTCCTCCTACTCTTCATCTTCCTCCTCCTATCTCTTCCTCCTCTTTCCTTCCCTCCTTCTCCTCATCTCATCCTCCTCTTATCTCTCCTCCTCCTCTTCCTTCCCTCCTTCCTCCTCCTCCTCTTCTCCTCCATGCCCCTCTTCCTTCCTTTCCTCCTTCCTTCCTCAATCCCTCTCTCTCTCCACTCTTCCTCCTTCCTTCCTCCTTTCCTTCCTCTGATCTCTCCTCTCTTAATCTCTTTCTCGCTCTCTCTTTCCTCCTCCCTCCTTCCTCTCCTCCTATCTCTTCCTCTCTCTTTCCACCCTCCCACCTCCTTCCTCCTTCCGCCTCGTCCTACCTATCTCTTCCTCTCATCTTTCATTCCTCCTTTTCTCCTTCCTCCTCCTCCTCTTCCCTTCCTCCTCCTCCTCTTCCGCAATCTCATCCTCACCATCCTCCTCTCTCTTGCCTTCCTCCTTCCTCGCTCTTCCTCAATCTCCCCTCCTCATCTCCTCTCTCTTCCTTCCTCCACAATCTCATCCTCCTCTCTTCCTTCTCTTCCTTCCTCCTCCTCCTCTTCTCAATCTCCAACCTCTCTCTCCTCCTCTTCCTTCCTCCTCCTCCTCTTCCTTCCTCATCTCATCCTTCCTCCTCCATCATTACAATCCTGCGGCCATGCATTGGGTCCCTCCAATAGGGGTCCCGCCCTCCCCTCCCCCTCCCCCTCTACCCTGGTTTTCCTCTCTGGGTATAACTGCAGTCAGTACAGGTAATTTGCGATTGTGAAAAATGCGGTCGTTAGTGCAGGTAATTGGATTAAAATTGCAGTTGATGATACAGGTGAGAGATTAATTGGTCAGCGTTTGGGGGGGGGGACGGGGGTGGGAATTGTAGTATTAATTGTATTGGTAGTACAGTAATTTGCGACTGTGTTAATTGCGGTCGTTGTAAGCAGTAATTGTATAATTACAGAGTCGTTATTACAGTAAGAGCAATAATTACAGTCGTTAGTGCAGTAATTCCGTAGTAATTGCGGTTTGTACAAGTAATTCGTAGAGGTAATTTGCGATTGTTTAATTGCGTCGATAGTGCAGGTACTTGTATTAAGTGAGTTTTAACAGGTAATTGCGGCTGGTATTACAGGTGAGAGTGTGAATTGCGGTCGTTAGTACAGGTAATTGGATAATTGCGTCGATAGTACAGGTGAAGTATTAATTGCGGTCGTTAGTACAGGTAATTGGATTAATTCAGTCGTTATATACAGTGAAGTGTTAATTGCGGGTCTAGTTCAGGTGAGAGTGTTCATTGTGGTCGTTAGTGCATTAATTGTATAAAGTATAGTTGGTACAGGTAATTTCGACTGTGTTAATTGCGTCGTTAGTGCAGGTAATTTGATTTAGTAATGGTTGGTACAGGTAAATTGCGACTGTGTTAATGTGGTCGTTAGTAGCAGGTAATTTGTTAAGTGTGGTGGGTACAGAGTAATAAGCGACTGTGAAATTGCGGTCCGTTAGTACAGGTAATTCCTAGAGTTAATAAGACGGTCTGGTACAGTATAGGTATTGATTGAAGTTGGTAATACAGTTAATGTATTAATAATGCGGTTCGGTACAGTACATTAGTATTAATTTGTAGTTACAGGAAAACGCGATTTGTGTTAAATGCTGTCATTTGTACAGTAATTGATTAAATACAGTAAACCGTGATTGTTTTAAATGTTTTAATTTGCAGTATTATACATGTTGAGTATTAATAGCGGTCGTTATAACAGGAATGGATTAATTGCAGTCGTTGATACAGGTGAATGGTTTTAAATGCAGTCGTTATACAGAGAGAGTATTAATTGCAGAGCGTTATTAACAGGTGAGAGTATTAAATGCGCAGGTAGTACAGGTTAGAGTAATAATTGCGGTCGTTAGAACAGGTCATTTGTGAGTGTTTTAATTGCGGTCGTTAGTACAGGTGAGATATTAAATACAGTCGTTATTACAGGTAATGTGTTCTGGTGCAGTCGGTAGTACAGAATTTTGCATTTTTGTTAATTGCGGTCATTAGTACAGGTAATATGCGAGTGTGTTAAATGCGTTCGATAGTACAGTGATTCGTAGAGGTAATATTTGTAATAGTATTAAAGTGCGGCTGGTTTGATCAGTACAGGAAATTTGCTGATTGCGTTAATTGCGTCATTATACTAGGTTGATTTGTAATAACTGCAGTAATTGACGGGTAAATTGAAAATGTATTAAATATACAGTCCATAATAGTAAATCGTAATAGTGTTAAAGCTGTCGAGTAGCATGAAGTAACTGTGGTTTGTATTAACTGCTAGTACAATTATTCAAAATTGTAATGACGTCGGTTAAGAGTAACAGGTAATTTTAATTGTATTAATTGCGCTGGTAGTTAACAGTAAAATCGGTAATGAATGACGTGTTTATACAGGTAATTGAATTAACTGTGTCTAAGTACAAACGTAGTTAGTAATTATGTTAAGTGCAAGCGGACAGGTGATTTTATCAATGCGGTATTGTACAGGTAATTCGTAATTTAATGACAGCGGTTAGAAACAGTGATTGTATAAGTGCTGATGGTAGTTACAGTGATTGTATTAAGTCATAATTGAAAATACCGGCATAACAGGTAAAATCGTAATTTTTTAGTGCAAGCTTGTATGTGTGAAATGTGTATAAATTGCAGTAGTATATGCGATTGTATTTAGTGCAGTTGGTACAGTAATTGTATTAATTGCAGTTAGTAAAGAGGCTATTGTTTAGTGCATTAGTGTAGGTGAGTAATATTAATTGCGGGCCTGTACAAATTGTCTTAATTGTGGTAGGAAGCAATTCAGTATTTATTAATTGCGGTTTGGTACATGTAATTTGTGATTGTACTAATATCAGTCGTTAGTACAGTGATAGAAATAAATAGCAGTTAGTACAGGTGGATGATGCAGTAATTGATTAAATGCAGACATTACAGGTAAATTTTAATTGGCTAAGTGCGGATAGAAAAGTAATTGTCCTAAAGCAATCAGAAACAGTGATTCGTAATTCAAATTAAACTTCGTTAGTGCAGGTAAAATTAATTAACTGTAAAAAGTGCAGTCAGAATAGGTAATTAGTAACTGTCCTAAATTACGTGCGTTGTATAAAAACTGTGACGGAGAGGATTTTGTCTTTTTCTTTGTTGTAAAAATTAAATTTGGCCGTTTATCCTTAAATAATGATGACGAAGAATAAAACTTCTTTTTTGTATATGGGCCTTTTTTTTTGTACGAAGTATTTGTATTATTTGTTTTTTTCTGCCTCATTATCAAAATAATGTGGTATTTTAATACTTGGTCGATGATTTGGAGTGTATGCATGCTTTTTTTTTT